AGAGAAGTAGAGTCATTTTCTCATAGACTTCTATACAACCAGAGGATGCCAGAAGGCCAGGATGGATTCATGCACTTCATGCAATGCATGAAACAGGAGGAATCGTTCTCCACGTGGACGTGAGCGTGTTCTCTAAAGACGGATTTAAAACAGTCTGAACTGATCCTTTCGGTCTAATTAACCTCTTTACAATCATCTCAGCATCAATAGCACCTTTTCCGTCTGCTGTAGAAACCAACAGACCACGACTCCAAAATATCATAACAGTCAATCAAATCAATACTTTTTCCACCACGTGACCTTTGAGGGACTCTGTTCGTATTTTCCTTTTTAACAAGTGAGGAACAAATAAAACACGTTTACATTTGGTAGAGCTGTTGGAGTGTAGTGTGGGCTGAAAACCATCAAACCAAATGTTTAGCTTTTCGTTTCTTTAACTTAAAAACGTGTTTTTTGTTCAATTTAATTGTGACGAGAAACATTCAGCCCTGAAAACCTGAAGGGAGATCGATGGAGTTTGTCACGCCGTGGAGAGCTCCACCCCGCTGTCACAGACCCCACTGTCGATACGAGCGTCCACCTTCAGATCCCGCACCTGAGACTCACCTGTGGGAGAGAGTGAGTGTGAGAGAACCACAGGTGAGGTGAGTCGTCGTTTTAAAGCTCAATTAAAGAAATGGTTAGTTAGTGCCCAGCTCTGTAACTGCACCTTACTGTCCTCAATCTGTCTGTGTTGAACTTCCCTCTGTCTGTCTGCCGTCACCCGTCAGTCTGCCGTCACCCGTCAGTCTGCCGTCACCCGTCAGTCTGCCGTCACCCGTCAGTCTGCCGTCAGTCTGCCGTCACCCGTCAGTCTGCCGTCAGTCTGCCGTCACCCGTCAGTCTGCCGTCACCCGTCAGTCTGCCGTCAGTCTGCCGTCAGTCTGCCGTCACCCGTCAGTCTGCCGTCACCCGTCCGTCACCCATCCGTCACCCGTCTGTCTGTCTGTCTTGAATTTGCCGGTCGACCCTCGTCTACCTGTATGTATGTCTTTAATTGTTGTTTAGTGTCAGACTGACTTATATATTTCACACACTCTGCATGCTTTTATGTCGTTCCTCTGACGTGGATGTTTTTAATATCTAACATTGCAGCATCATCTTGTCTTTAGTCCATGTTTCTATTTAACAGAGTTATCCTCATTGTATTGTCTTTGTGTGTGTTGACTTTGTCTTGTTAGTACTTGATAACGTAGTGCGAGTCTCCTGAATGATGACACTACTTATATTAATATTCTCACTTCTTTCACTGTTTCTGCACGCTTTGTAAAGGGTCAATATTGTGTAACTTTGTAAATGTAATCTTATATTCTGTTTTTAGGTTTACTTTGTAACATCTGCCAACAGCAATGTGTTTATTAATGTGCACTGTCTCTTATCAAATAAACCAATAAATAAATAATCGTGACGGCGGTCGCCTCCTGTCCGCTCACCACTCGTCTCCTCGATCCTCTGCGTCTCCTCTTCCTCCTCCTCCTCCTCCTCCTCCTCGTGGCGTCGCAGCGCCTCCTCCAGGACGCTGAGCGCTCTGCACTCACCGACTGACCCGAGACCAGCCAGCAGGTCCCTGACCGTCCCGCCCGAGACCTGCAGGAAAAAAACAGGTCAGAGGTCACAGTCAATCAATTCATACCATTAAGGTCAAATAAACCTGAATGCATCAACAGAGGAAGAGACAAATAAAACTAAAATAGAAACGACTCAACAGCAATTAAAAACATTCAAGGAAAAAAAGGAGACAAAATACAGCCGTTGAAAAATGCTAAACCAAATAACAGTGAAGTGTTATGAATGAAGGTAGATTTATTAATTTATTTAAGATTTCAACTGTAATTTAATTTGGATTCAAAAAGCTGGATTTCTGTATTTTCCATATCTTTAATTTTCTAGATTTTTCTTCAGAGCTCCCTCTCTAATGTGACACGTACAATGTTTTTATACGTGTGTGTGTGTGCGTTACCTCGTAGCTCTCCAGCAGTGTTTTGGCGGGGGAGGGGCTTAGACTGAAGGCCGTGTTGAGGATCCCGAGACCCAGACTGTGAGCCAGTTTTTCCCAGCATCCTTCACTCTCCAGAGCACAACACACCTGCTGCTTCACCTCCACGTCCAGGCTCGCCAGGTCGCCTACACACACACACACACACGTATATTTATAGACAGAAAACAATGAACTATTTTCCTTCATATACTTACTATTTTATTATTTACGTCATGATGCTTTTCTATTGTTATTATTTATTCACAAACGTAGAACAAACATATTTTAAGTGTCTTTCAATCTTCAGAATTTTTTTTGGAAATATATCAGATTAGAGACTGAACTCACCTTGAGGAGTGAAGGCTTTTTGTAGAGATTTTGGTTCATATTCTTTACCATTCAGAAGCTCCAACACCTGCACACAAACACACAAACACACACACACACACACACACACACTTTTAATTTAGTTAGATGGTAAATAAGATGGTTTTATTTCTCTGCTGCCACCTAGTGGTCAACAACACTTAATGCCGCTTTAAGACTCAAAAGCAGGTCTGGCTAATAAATCTGTGGGAATTATGAGAATAAAATATTAATATTACTTCATTAAAGAGTAACTTGACATCAGTATGAACTGCAGCATCACACTTGTGACCATGCCCACAAGTGATATTAATATGAATACGTAAATGAGATGAATTTCAGGTATTCGATGCTGCAGGAGGCCGGTGTACCTGAGTAGTGGCGGCCATGTTGAGAGGAGTGGTTCCTGGGATGTAGCCTTCATCTTCATCCTCATCCTTCCTCTCTTCATCACAGCAGTCCTCCTCCCTGAAGAAGAGCGGCTCAAAGTTCTCCTTCTGAGGGTCTGCACCTGGAAAACACACATCTGTTGGTCGCTTGAGTAGCAAGTTATACAAAAATGAGCATCAGCTCACATCCACCTCCTGAACTAACTAACTCACTCATTCACCACATAACAGTCTGTTAGTGAAGGTTCTGCAGCTGAAACGGTGAGACAGATAACAATAAAGTCTTTAACCCAGACATGAGTCAGCATCTTTACACTTCCTACACAACAACGTCCTCACTAGAACCCCGTCTCCCTCTCCTCCATCCCTCTTTGTCTCCCTCTCCTCCATCCCTC